AAATCGGCGAACTCATTGGCGTCCCCCTTATCTGCTCGTAGATTGTTCCGTCAAACGTGAAGTACGTCCTGAGAGAAAAATTCAGCAGCTGTAGGACTTGGGCATGTCCGAGACGATTCTCCGTCCCATAGTATTTCTTTCGTAGGAGTAGTTCGCTGAGACAACACTTTTATTCGGCTGATGTTTTGAGATCCATCGCGGCTTCATCATCAGAAACATAAGTAGGAAGCAGTAGCAGACACGGATAACATATACATAGGAATTTGAAGTATTTATTAGGTACTGTCATGACTGCAAACATACAAAGACAATTAACAGTAATTACCTTCTTGCGCGATTATGATAAATTTTTGACCGGCTTGCGGGCTCTTACCTGTTGACATTTCATCACGCTTAGTGGACTCGGGCGTGTTCATTGCTCAGACATCTGGCTCTCCGCTATTGGCGTTAGACGATGCGGTGGCCCGTACGTTTCCCAAGTGGCGACTTGCGTTGGCCAAATTGAGTCTCAGCACCGAATATGGATTGGGCAAATCATTGCACTTGTTTATTGATTGAGGACCCGTGAACCATGACTCAAGTAATTCTCGGCTCACCCGATTGTCACCTCTTGCGGAGAATCTCGGCCTCATCAAATATGAATGCGTGGCCAGGTCTCGTAGAATGAGCCGAAACTTGAGAATTGGCATCATTTCGCCACACTGCTGCCGTTTGTTCGGCAATTCGTGTCTTGAGAAGTCTGCCAGTTTCTTCGACATAGTTGCTTTGTCCGCAATTAAAACCAGGCCTTGTATATGACTCCAGATGTTTCTTGCCGTGACAGTGGGTCTTTTGGTTTCCGTATATAATGCCTTAAGGTTGTCTCCGGCCACTGTGCGACTCCAAATCAAAGTTGTACGAGAAGGCAGCCGACGGCCTCCGAGACGTTTTTGACGTACGGGATCGCTCGCCAAAGTTAGAGGTCGGTGCGATTTTGTTGATCATCTCGTTTGCGCAAGCATCGGTTGAAGAAGTTGCAAGGGCAGCCATTTTCTCTGAAAACCCGTCAAAGGTATTGCACTTCGGCAACTTTGCCTCCTAGTTCGCTGCAGTGCGTCTCAACACGCCGAAAGAGCGTCCTTACGCAACTGCATTTGTGGCTCATTGATTGGCTGCTGTTGTAATTCAGTACTTGCATCGTGTATGTCGCTTTCCTGAATACTTTAGTCTTTAGGCCACCACAATATTTGCGACAGACGAAGACATCAATGACGGCCAGCTGTTTGTCCTCTTCCTCTTCCATCGTCAATTGGACGTCCAGGAAGACGCTATTGAGACGTTCCTTGAACGCGATCACCGGAATTCGTTCGATGTCGACGAAGGGTTCATCCACATACCGCGCTCAGAATTTCGGTATGTGATGTTGGAAGACCAGCGACTCCAGCCGTTGTAGGACCGCCTCGGCCATGAGTCCCGAACTCGGTGAACCCATTGGTGTCCCTTTCACCTGCTCTTAGATTGTCCCATCAAACGTGAAGTACGTCCTGAGACAGAACTTCAGGAGCTGTAAGATTTAGGCTTGTCCGAGGGGATTCTCTGTCTCATCGTATTTTCTTCATAGGAGTATTTAGTCAACCCCAACGCCTCCAATTTCTTCTTTCATGGTTTTGATTTCAAGAAGCATTTACTGGGAGGTATCAATTAAAAATACTGATTTCCACTTAGCAGTTATTAACTTATCTACATGCAAGTCACTGAGAGCTCCCATTGAAAAACTGTTCAGGAAGAACTGATAATACAGACCAAATTTCAACCTTCTGAACGCTAAACTGTGGCCGCTTTGGCCTTAGGCTGCAGGAACGCTGTAAACTACTGCAATTTACAAACATGCAAAAGATTTAATCCGAGTTCAGCAAGCGTCCAGAAATGTTTTATTTGTATAAATTGGAAGCCAGACATGCCAAGAAATGTAATTTCAATTTCAGCTGCCAATTAGCGCCCACGCTAGCCCACTATATAACTGTACCAGCACTTTTGAAATGTTGATTTTTCATTGTACAGCTTCTCAAGTCTGACGACGACATCTGTTGTAATGGTGTTTCCAGGCTAGATTTGTGCCGCCCCAGTCTCTTTGTGTCAATTCAGCGAGGAGAACAACGAACAAGGTCGTAAAGGAAATGAAGTCATTTATTGCCCTCTGAGCAGAAGCCATATGTTAAGCAAAGTTATACATGGGGCCAATCA